CTGTTTGATGTGTTGTCTTCTCAATTCAGAGGGCCCCCTGCCTGTTTTTGCCTAGGGCCCCAAATTTCCTATATCCGCCCCTGCACATAAATGTACTTTTAATTGGTGTTAATAAAATAGTTTGAGAGAATAAAAGACACAATTCTCAGGATTTAGTGAACGGATGTTTAAGTGAATGTCACGCTGCTCAGTTTGACTTTATTATATTTTCATATTTCAAATCAGGTGAGGTGTCATTGATGTGTTTGGCAAACGGTCTGCTTTCTTCGGAAGCAACTTTAAAAGAAACAAGCAGAGGTTTCCTTGTATCACCTACCCACATCCGTTTGTCCTACAGGGGTCGGAGTGACGGTTCGGGCCCGTGTGCTGAACTGTGTTGACGGTGTAAACATTGCACTTCTGCAGAGGGCTGTCACAGAGCAGCGGAGTTTCTTCGCTGAGAGGGAGAGCAAACAGGTGGAGGCGACGCACCCAGGGGATGGAACCTGATGAAGGCCTCCATGCTGTGACGCTGGCAGGGCTACACTACCTTTCATTAACTTTATATTATAGATATTATCTACTGCTGCATGTTTGGAAAAATAAATTAGTTCCCCAGAAGATTCAGCAGTCCCGTCTATTGTTAGATGTTTATTTGATGGTTTCTGAGGATTTCTGATACTTTTTAACAATATTCAGCTTTATGAAACCTTATTGTTTTGTATTTTTCAAAGCTTATTTAAAAGTAACAGATTTACCTGTTTGGTGAATGAGAACAGATGTGGAATATTTTTTTATTCTATTTGTTATTTCAATAAAGAACATATTTTTATAGCTGTGAATTACTGCTGTGTGTAACAAAAAAAAAAAATCCCTGGAAAATCTGATCTCACTGAACCTTTGCGCCTCTTGTTCCAACTTCTCTACGGTGTAGGAATATCCTGAAGTCTCAGGAAATAAGTTATTAGATTTTTTTTAATAAAGCAACCGATCTTAGAAATAAACTGATGAAGTCTTCAGGCTCAGGAAAGGATGGAGCTGAGCAGATATTTCAGTTTTAAAAAGCGAAAATTGTACCTAAATAAATGACCCAAGTTTATTTTTGGTAATAGAAAACATATAATGTACATTTTTAATCAGAAGTTTCCCCGCCGTCCCAAATCTGACCAAACCGCTTTGACCTACAATGAATCATGAGAAATGAAGGGATGTTGGGTATTTTTCGGTAACACTGTCGCTTTGACGAACAAATACCAGAATTTCTGAAAGCTCTGTCATTTCCTGAGACCAGATGATGTCCTAAAAACTACTAATCACTGCTGGCTGAGCTTACCCCATTGATGGACACTGAGGTCTTTTTGTTTGGCCATCTAAGCAGCAAGTTATGCTTACAGCTGTTCCAAAACTAAGTCAAAAAACAATCCACTGGACTTTGTTTCCAAGTTTGAAGACGTTTCGCTTCCCATTCAGGAAGCTTTTTCAATTCAAAAATCCTGGAATAATGTTGAGTTCTGGGCTATAAAGTTCCTAAAGCCTAGCCTGACGTAATCCT